TCGCCAATTATATGACGACAAAGAACAACGTTGTCATTAATTACAAAAATATAAGTCACTACCAGCTATATAGGATTATAATAGGTCCACAGTTTGCGTCCTTTATGGCTCAGTATTTCGGACTAGTGTTGGATCTACTGATACTGGGTATCTGAGGCGAGCCAGCGAAATGGTCTGTCCGCCGCAAATGCCGCATGACTTTTTTACTTGTTAAATGTTGCTTCCGAAACAGCGCATTTTATTCGATTATACTGTTGCTATATAAAATTAAAACACGTTATAAATTTTATATATTCTATGAAAAAGTTTTATTATTACATTATACTACAGAATTGTATAATATAGTAAATATTGTATAATATAGTAAATATTGTTCTACACATCAAGCACACTTATATAAGATTATTGTATGTAGTATTTACTTTTAGATATATTAATAATTTAAATAAAATAAATTATATCTAAACAACATAAATTATATGTATGACATGTAAAAATCTTTAATTTTTATTATTTGTTCATAAAACTACCATCCAATAATCATTTCAAGAATCTCCATAAAATGTCTACTGCGTATCCATGGATTATCACAAAACATCGATGGAATACATCCATTAGACTTCTTATGGATATTTAAAAAAATGAACTCTAGATATCTAATGGATATCCATAAGAAGTAACGTGGATATCCAGTAGATGTTTCCAATTTCCGTCATGGATGTTTAATAGATGTCCATTGGAGTGTTCTGTTCTGTGTGGGTATGCAGCATATCCCAAAAGTTTCTGGTTTTTGTTTTGATTTCTTCGTTCGTAATCGCCTTTTCGCTCAGTGTGTAATAGCTTTCTGTCGTACACGGTTGGATTTTAGAAAGTTTCACCATGCGTTTCATATGTATGGGTTGAATCGCTATACGATTTGTTTTCATTTCTTTGTTGTAAGCGTGTAGGCAGGGGGAGCTGCGCCCCCCTGCAGGTGGAGGAATTTTGCCCCTCCCCCCTGCTCCCCCCTTGAAAAAAATAGAAAACGACTTCCGATTACAGGTCGCTTCATGTTGATAGTATGTACGTGATTTTTAACGACACTTAATCAGAAGTCGTTTTTTATTTTTTTTCAAGGGGGGACAGGAGGAGGGACAAAGCCCCTCCACCTGCGGGGAGGCGCAGTCCCCTCTACCTACATGCTTTCAACACACAAAAATGTACATGTTGTCGGGAAAAAACTTTATTTATAAAACTTTTTTTGATCATAACTTTTTTATAAACAATGAGCGACGGCTAAAACTTTTAGAAACATACTCAGGAAGGTCAAATTTACAATATATGAGAACGAGAAGCCAATCGGAGGGGGCTCTCCTATTCTGTATATTTACCTAGAGTTTTTAGAAAATGTTCGTTCGAATGTGTCGATGCGTCTGTTGCGTGTCACCGCTAACGCCCGACCATACCCATAGGCTCCGGACGTAACATTAGTATAAAAACTTATCTTTTCAAAAAAAGATTTTAAAAAGGCGCCAAGTATACGTACAATATGTAATGTACTGTTATATTATAAACTACAAAAAAGTCATTCTTTAAAAAACCTGTTTTACAAAAGAAGTAATATCAAAAAGTAGCACCAAGTAAACTTTTTTCTTTGTTTTATAATTTAATATACTACAAAATTATCTACAAAATCTATTCTACAAAAGACGTGATATATAATAATAATAATAATAATAATAAAGTAGTAAAACGCCAATTGAAAAACTTTATATATAATTATAAGATATTTGTATAAAAAATCAAAAACTTATGTAGACTTTATAGATCACATTTTATATCCAAAATACTCGGTGTTATAGATAACAAAACGATTTGTTAGTGAAACTATAAAGTAACCTTATCAAAGGTTTTTTTTAATAGGTAAAGTAACCTATCAAAAAAACTATTTTCCGTGATTATTTACAAAAACATTTACTAGAACATAGAAATGTAACGAAAGAAAACAGTTTTTTTTAACAAAAAATATTTAATGCAAAATAACTTGGCGCAGCTGCAAATAGTGAACTGAAATGTGTTATTAGAAAATACATCAGCTTGAATTGTCACACTAAGGGTGAAATTATATGATACGGAAAAGAGCTGCGGAACGGAGAATGCGTCATTAAGACAGCCAATCAAAGGAAAAAGCTTGCAGTACAATCGTACAGAATAGTGATTGGCTGTGATTGGCTGTCTCAATGACGCACTTCCCGTTCCGCAGTTCTTTTCCGTATTATGGTCGGTCCAATGGTCTCGCGGCCTGAGTGCAGGGGCTGCAAAACCGGAGGTCCCGAATTCGATTCTGCTCACCACCTACCTAAGGATTTTTTCCGGACCGGTCCCCTTCAACGAGTTTATCGGTTGATCGGCGAACTAAATCGGGCCTTCACTAATTAATTCAAGTGTAATCTCTTCGAATTAATCCCCTTCCCACAAGACGGTCACAGTCACACGAGCCTGACACAGATGGGCACGCTCACTGTGAAAGACGGCCGTGCACCGCGTGGTAGTACTGCACAAACAATCCCTTCTTACGTTCTGAGAATAAAAAATGACTATAGAATGACTATAGACTAATCTTCCCATAAGGTCTACGAGGCATAAGCGTACCAAAACCAAAACTTTTTCTGTATCATGTGACTTCACCATAAGTGCACTAACGCAAACAAGTTTCAAATCGTGCGTCATAGACGTGATCATGGTGCAATAAGAAAGGTGAACTATTGCGCATAATGGCGGAGGGGCATCCACAACCAACCAATCAGAAATTGAGCTTATTAGCACCTAACATATATAAGCTGCGTTCCATTTCACGCATATGCGCGCATTTATCTATACTATACGTCACGTGTACTATAGATACATGCGCGCATATGCGTGAAACGGAACGCAGCCATAGTTATATACAGCGCTGCCGTGGAACTTGCCACACGTGACGTCACGCAGTAGAGAGATAGAGAGGTACGACTCGTGCCTCTCTATCTCTCTACCGCGTGACGTCACGTGTGGCAAGTTTCACGGCAACGCTGGTTATATATGTCCATGGTGTATGTGTATGTGCAAATGAGCTCAAAGTCTACTGCGCATCCGTCGGAATGGGACACCTTTCTTTTTACACCATAGACGTGATTTAAAAACTAATGAGGATTCTTTTAAAGTACTTCTTTCTGTTCTTGCTATAAAGTTAAACTCTTTTCGAAAAACTTGCAATTTAGTTAACGAGAATTATGTAAATAATTAATTTTGTTTCCTATTTTTATAAGAGCACTTCTTACTGCTTTTAAAAACGCTTGAGAAAATTCGTCACAATTGCTACATACACTTTTATAAAAATGTTTTTGTTATTTAACATTTTTATATTACATATTTTCTTTTTACATAAAATCTTTATTAACTTAAAAAGTTTCGTTAGAAAAGTACTTAAGGCTGTTATTTTTAATATTCATTTAATAATCATTACTTGAATAGAAGCACACTAATTGAGTCAGACACATTAACTGAGAGTTAATTGTACATCTATATGTAATATAGTGAAAATCACAAAAGCAAATTTCCTGTTGTTGATCGATAAGATCATAGATATGTTAGGCCCGGTTTCACAATTGACGGTTAACTCGAATTAACGGAAGCCCAACTTGCTGAACTCGGCGTAACGCATCTTTTCTTCCTAAACATAAACTGTGATTGGTTAGCGAAGATTTGACAAAGAAGATTGAACGCGTTAAACCGAGCTCAGCAAGTCAAACTTCGGTTAATTCGAGTTAACCGCGAATTGTGAAACCGGGTCTTAGTAAATTCGCTCACTTTTGTAATTTTCACTACATTGCATGATACACAACTCTGACCCTCGTGGGCTTACTATCCTATAACTTATTATATAATCAATAACAAAAATAACAGTGAATCTAATTAATATAAAGATCAAAATTACGCTGATATTAGACACAGTAATCTTTGCGATGATGATACAAGTTAACAATAATGTCATTATCGAAACGCACAACTGTGATGGCAAATAGGGCGCTCAAAGCAATTTCGAAAGTCCACACAATTGTTCAAATTGTCAAACAATATTCACGTTAATAGACAAATTGTGAAAATATTACAGAAAAATGGCATCATAAATAACGACGATCCTGCAATGATTGCACTAAGATGATTCGTCATAACGCAACAGATCTCATACAGCACCGAAAGATTGTAGAAACATTGCAGAAATATTACATTGTAAGGTTGCAATGTTGCAGCAACGTTGCGTAATATTGCTGCAACTTTTCAGGAAGATTGCAGCAACGTTGAAATGTCCGCCCTCAGAGAGATTGCAGTGCAACATTTCAGCAATATTGCGATGTAAGGTATTTGCAATAATGCAATAATATTGCACACACAAGTATAAAAATAAAACTGGATATTTATTCAGATTCAAGCAGAACACAAAATGTTTGTGTAGTTTAATTTTTTAGTAAAAACTAAAAAATTATAATTACATTGTAATTTTTACAATAAAAATTTTGCAGTAAAAATTATAATGTAATGGTACTTTTGTCGTTTTTAATAAATAATTAAATATCGTGTATTTTGCTTGTATTTGCCTAAATAATCCAGTTACATTGTCTCACGAGTTTCTTCAATTAATAAGTGAAGAATTTATTACTCTTCAAAGCAACGTACAGTGAAATCATAATTATGTTTTAAAACATTATAATTCATTCTAATGTGTGTGTGTGTGCGCGTGTGTGTGAAAACATATATATATATATAGGTACGTTGCTTTAAAGTGTAGTCTGTTTTAAATATATTTTAAGGTTTAAAAAAAAACTTTAATAAACATTAATTATAAATTATATAAAAATCTTTAATATCTATATTATATAAATATAAAAACTGTAACATTGTACATAACTGCAGTGTAGTAAACATATAAAGAAAAATCAAAGTATTATATATAAAATCACATACGAAAATCACATTGGTATATATATGTATCATATATATTTCTATATTATTTTATATATTATTTATTTTTATATTACATTGTTTGATCCGATTTATACAAATGTAAGCAAATTAGAAATAAAAATTGCATTCTAATATCATTATCTTGCCATATGAAATGTTACATGTACGTATGTACTTTTCTCTTTGAGATCTTAAAGTGGATTGAGCAAGCCATTTTGACACAGAATCTGCAATATCGGTATCCGTTACTTGGCCATGTAACATTCGAACAGCTTCTGTAAAGAAAAGCGTTAAAGATGTTACAAATATGATCCACAGTAAATATACATATATGTTATTTAAACAAATGTTTGATCTTAATTAGTTAATGTAGCTTAAAATTGTATTACATAGGAAAACCTTACGTGCAATAATTTTTGCAAGAGTCAAATCTTTGAAACTTTTCTTATTTCTTTTTCCAGCCCAGCTGAAATTTAGCACTACAGAATTTGTTATTGCTAAGTATATTTTGAGTCATAACATGCGCAGTACCTCCANCCACAAGTTTAAAAATATTAAGTTGAAGAAAATGAAAAAATATACAAAGAATACCAAAGTAAGGTAAATTAATGATTTCCATACATAAACTAGTAGAAGCAATATTTTTTATAAAAAATTGTGTACATTGTGATTAATATTATTCAAGATAAGTAAAACATTTCGCGCGAAAATATAAAGTATCATGCATAAAGATTGTTCATGGAAGCAAAATCGTCATAAAGCAAATAATACCAATCTAAAAATTTGCGTGGAATGGATGTATATTATAGATCAACAGAATGATATAAACAAAGTAGAAGATATAGTATTACATTACCTGATCAATATATATAAATAAACGCCGCGTCGTTTATTTAACGGAGACTTTATTATTATAATCTTTAAGTAAAATCGTCGCGAACACATAAATATCTAATTAATGATGTATAATGATGATACAATTCAACTCACCGAACTGCTGCTTTTCACGCTCACTCACTCGCGCAAGGAGGTTATGTTTTGCTGTCCGCTTGCCGTTATCCTGTTCCTCCTTTCAGATCCTCAGGATAATCTTTCGATTAATTGCGAATCAATTGATAAGTACTGTCACTCGCGTTACTTTCGACACTTTGTATCGTTGTAATGTAACCTCTTGGTCTGGCGTCCTCGCACTTCTTTTGAACTTCTTGATATTGTAAGACTCGGAGCACTTAATTGAATAAATAATACCGAACAGTTAAAAACAACAAGAAATAGAATATTAGTATAATATTAATAAAATATTAGAATTTAAAAAATACTTACGAGTACACAACCGCACGTCCGTCTTGCTCGTAACTCATTGGGTGCGTTCAGACAGCTCAACGGTTGAGAGATCATCGCTTATGATAGGACTATTCTTCAAGATCTGCTGAGGTTCCAAAAGTACGATCCAATCAGAAGTGATTATCTCTCAACCGTTGTGCAACTGTTGAGTTGTCTGAACGCACCCATTATGTGCAGTGTTCACTCATCTTTCCTGCGCGCCTGCGCGTACCACTTTCCCGTTACTGCGTTCACAGCGACATGCATGCCTTATATCAATATGCATAACGTTACAGAAACATTACAATATTTTTGCAATGTTTCTGCAACGTTGCTGCAATATTACTATTAGAAGTTTGCAATTTCATAATCTTTCAATGTCTCTGCAAGATTGCAGTGTAATCTGCAAGTTTGCAACGTTGCTGCAACGTTTTGTGCTGTGTGGGTTTTGTCGAAATAAAATTTTGTAAATAATATTTGTCAAAAATTGAAAAAGAGTCGTTATGCATTTCTATAAATATATACATGAATTAAGTTGATTTCTTCATATGCAATTATATTTCTACATATTTTACACATCACATAGCTGAATTTTTTTCTCAATTGGACTTTTTTTTACAATTAAGTTTGCAAATATACTGCTAAGATGATTCGCCATATCGTTATTCTTTTGCCGAAATAGTATTTGGAAAGTAATTTTGCAAACAACTACAAATATTTCATAAAAAATCATTGTTTTTACATCTACTTCCTAAAATATATCTATATAAGTGCAAATTACAATTTTAGTGCAAAATTTCGTCACATAATTTTGTAAATGTTTTCCTATCAGGGCAGTTTCAGTCTCATAAGTCTCTTGCCTTTTTACAAACTTTCAATCTTTTATTATCATTTGTACATATTTTAAATCATTTTAATTAATATTTGTGCGTAAGAACTACATTAATTGCAAACATATTATGTATTTTAAATAAATGATGTCTTTATTTTGCTTTTAGAGATAGAAATGTACCATCACAGATTGCATAGACTGCGTTTGGGGAGCACGCTATCTACGCTATTGTATTATTCCATCTTTATCTCTTAGTAGATGTAAAACAAAGATAAAATGACTACTAGCGCAAATAGCACGCTCTCCGAACGCATCCTTAGTGAATTCTATTATTCTGATGATTATGTTTTATAAATGCAGTCAAGCTTTGCTATTCTTGACAAAATTTCCTTCTTGATCTTATTGTTTTCCATAGCCACTTATTGAAACAGAAATAGAAAGGGTGTTCAATCTCGATGTGTCAAGAATAAAAAGATTTGACTCTAGTTGTTATACATGAACTATTTAAATATTTTTAATTAAGTGTATGCTATAAATTAGTTTTTAATGCATATACATAAATATATAGTTTTTAATGGAAGAAAAAATTATATTTAATTGTAGTAAAAATATATACATACATAAATAAAGAACTTTAATTTGTATTTACAAAATTATTTATAAACTGAAAATCACACAAGACAACTCTGATATTTCTTAAATTAAAGTGCTATACATATAGATTCCAATTACTGCCATCCTCAGGATGTAAAGAATTTGTCACTAATAAAATTACATCAACAATCCACCAGACACCCATACCTCCCAATGTGAGTAATTTGCCAACTGCTGTTCCAGTTTGCCCCAAACAAAATCGATCCATGCCAAGAAATCCAAGCAGAATGCTGTATAGAAGAGTTGTCACAAAATAATGATCACTGTATTTTATACATGGAATACCTTCACGAAAAAATGTTCTTGGCCCATAACATTCGATATCTTCCAATACTGTGCAAGATACTTTAGTTTTTTCTACATCCTCATAACGAGATCCTCCAAACTGTAAACAATTCAGACTTGTCTTAACTAATTGTAGACATTTCAAACTTGTTTTATATGATTGCTACATATTATTATTATGTGTATATATATATATGTACATATATATATATATATACCTTAACACAACCAAAACCTGTCTCTTCTTTGGCAGTTTTATTTCCTTTGTGATCAACTGGTTCTTCACACCCAAGAAATTCCTCAGGTCTGCAAAACATTGTTGTATCTGTATACTATACAACATACTATTGTATCTGTGTACTATAATTGTAATCTTTTTTAAAAAATACTTACAAAAATTTACACATTACCAGAGGACCTTCAGGCCTATATTGCTGATTAGCACTTTTGTTTGTGCTAGACATTACACACACACAGTCATATCGTGTAGATAATAAAAATATTAATGTCATAAAAATAATGTTTAATTTCATTTTGTTGTTAACATCAGTCTGATTTGATGCAGTTGGAATTTAGTGGATCTTATCTGTTAGTCCATATGCCAATCTGAGTTTGTCGTTAAATATGATTTTATCCTTTAAATCGGTATTCATCTATGGTATTCTTCTTCTTCTTAAATGGCGCTTGCCTCTTCACGAGGATCATAAGGGCCTCCGCACAAACTCTTTCTTAACGCGTTACGTTACGTTAAGTACTAGTTTGTGCGTTGAATAAAGTTCAAGTTTACATACTAATCTAAGTTTATGACTAGTAATTAACGTTACGTTACGTTAAATATTAGTTTGTGCGTTGAATGACGTTCAAGTTTACGTACAAATCTAAGTTCGTAGCCAACTTAACGTAACGTAACGCGTTAAGAAAGAGTTTGTGCGGAGGTCCTAAGCCAGTCTAAGACAAATTTGCACCAAGATACTGAGATAAGTATGGGACACCACGGATTCAAAAAATAACTTCTACGCAACAACGATCGTTGTGGTCCCCCACGATGTTCGCTGCACGATTAAATTCATAAACGCGTTCACGATAATCATTATCTATGGTTATGGTTTGGTTTGGTGCTCTTTTGGCTCAGTGGACCTACAAAGCTAGTCCATACGCCATTCTACGTCTTTTTGGCTGCATTCCGAGTTACGCATATGCGCGCATTTATCTATACTATACGTCACGTGTACTATAGATAAATGCGGGCATATGCGTAACTCGGAACGCAGCCTTTGATGATAGGTTAAAACCGTGGATTGGGTTCCTGACACCAAGCCACGGAGTTGTATATTTGTTAAATTAACAGATAATAATAAGAAAGTCGTGTAAAACACCGAAAATGTGATGTAAAACACCGACAATTGTAGTTACGCTGTGAAAAATATTCACAGCGTAACTACACACATTCAACCATAGACGTATAATATATAGACTGCGCGTTCCCTACATAGACTTATATAATAGACGGAACATTTATATGACGAAGTTGAAGACAACATTAAAGGACAGAAATAGTGCTAGAGTAGTTGTTTCTCTCTCTTACAATAAGAGCGGTGGGGGACCAATCATCTCACAAGTCTATGCTATCACCTTTCACTATCACTCTCTTTCAACTGACTCTCGAACTCTATCTTCGTTGCTCTCGGCCACTCCCTCGGCCTGCCGCGGTCACTAATCAACTCACTGCTAGAAAAGAAGAGAACTATTCCACGACTATTTCTATCTCTTTTAACAAAGCTTCAGCTCCTCTTACATGAATGTTCCGTCTATTATATAAGTCTATGGTTCCCTACCTTTGCCATGTTAAGAAAATGTCTTCAACGTTGAGAGAGACAGCTGGTGTTAAACAGTAGCGTCATCTCTGTCTAGGAAAGTAGTGGGGGAAGAAGAAGTCTTCGCTGATTGATAGAATAGTAGTGGAAAAGTGGAGATAGAAAAATAGTGAGGATGAAGAGGAATGAAAGAGATTAAGGGGTGATGGTAGGTTAGGCGATATAAAACAGTATGCTTTGCGGACAATAGACAATATTAGGGGAAGAGAAATATATATATAGGTTTGAAGTGTTGAGTACATACAAAAAGAGTTTTAACATCATTTTTCTTTAACACTTTTAACCACTGTTTTTGTACATCTAGATTCTTTGGCAACCTAAAAATATAAACATGCATGAAAGAAATATAACACTAATAAAATGACACTAATTTGCTTATAATAATTACACACCTATGAAAAGTAATATGCGAGTTTTTCAGCGATTGCTCCACTCCGCATACACAACAACAATTCACCATTTTGTCAATTTTCTTGTAAAAGATTCTGATTCTGACCACAATAATCAACTTTGTCAAGATCGCAACAGTCAAACCCGTGGCCATTTGAATTTTAGCCCCACTACTACTTCCATTATATCCCACTACAGACATTGATAGACAGAGAGAGATTTACTATTCAAAGTATGTTGTCTCTCTCAACGTTGAAGACATCTTTTCAGCCAAACGCGTAGTCTATATATTATACGTCTATGCATTCAACCGATACGGCTCTCATCATCTATGGTTATCATATTCGCATCTTATATCAGAAAGAAGACTGAGAGCAGTGAGAGCGGTCATTATTGGGTGCGTTCAGACAACTCAACGGTTGAGAGATCATCACTTATGATAGGACTATTCTTCAAAAGCTTCTGCGGTTCCAAAAGTATGATCCAATCAGAAATGATTATCTCTCAACCGTTGTGCAACTGTTGAGTTGTCTGAACGCACCCATTGGTTACGTTCAGAAAACTCAACGGTTGAGAGATCATCACTTATGATAGGACTATTCTTCCAAATCTGCTACGGTTCCAAAAGTATGATCCAATCAGAAGTGATTATCTCTCAACTGTTGTGCAACTGTTGAGTTGTCTGAACGCACCCATTGTAGTTTCTTACGACGGTTTCACCCGCTGGTTTTAGCGCTATATCCACAAAAGTAGATCTCAAAGGCCGTTCTAAGCTGCGTTCCGTTTCACGCATATGCGCGCATTTATCTATGCTATACGTAACGTGTACTATACGTTACGTATAGCTCTATTCGTATCACAGCCAATTTTTTCACTTCTACACTCGATTCAAATAGAGAAGAGAATTTCGACGGACAAAAACGCGTCCATTTTGCGCATCTCTCTTACCGATAAGCTGCCCCACTCCACAGTGCTGTATCGCTCGTAAATGTCTAGCGGGTGCCTGCATGTATTGTAACATACGTTGTATGTATATAATAATATGCTCTAAGCGTAAAAACAAATTTGTTGTATCTGTGTTTTACTTGCAAAACATCTTACTTACAAGGGAACATCGCGAACCCGAAAATTCTGATTTTGATGAAACTTTGCACACATGTAAGGGAGGTCAATAGATGAGTATTGACATTTTCCGTTGCTGCTAAAAAACGGTTTTAAGGGATGAAATCACCCCTCATATGTAGAGCGGTTTTTCATTTTTTTCAATTTCTCTCGAAAATGATTAGAGATATTAAAAAATTTTATAGAAAAAAGTCCTCTATTTATTTATGTTAATAGAATTTAAAAAAAATAAGTTTAAAAAACATTGTGTAACAAAATTATAAAAAACATTTTTTTTAACAATTCTATTAATGTAGGTAAATAGAGGTGTTTTTCCCATAAAACTTTTATATAAAACAGTTTTTGATATCTTTAATAGTTTTCGAGATACATCGAGAAAAAAACGCAAAACCGTGTTATACATGATAAGTGTTTCACTCTTTAGAATCGGTTTGAGACCGCCACTGAAAATTTCTACATTTATGTAGTTACACCGAAAAAATTGTATTCTTGTTTTGAGGATATCCCACTTACTTTAAGTATATTTTATACTAAAATAGGCGCCAAGAAGAGTTTCTTATTTTAAGAGGAAAATCCTCTAAATAGTAATATTGATAAGAATATATACTGATTAGAATATATACTAATAGAATATATACTAATTAGATTTATATATATATAATCAGTATGTAATCTATATATCTTTCGCATTAATAACGATATTTTGTAAGATTTTTTAAATAATTTTATTTTTATTACATTTTAAAGTTTTTCATACATATGTTACCTATATTTAATTTTTTATTTTTAATGATCATAATTTATATCTATATTTATATTCTTTTTAATTATTATTTTCATAATAAAATGTAAATTAATAACAGTATAATAATAATTTTAACATTTAATCATTTTTATTTTTAATTCTTGACGCGCTGTGCACAAAAAGCCTCTATAGAAAAACATATATATCTCACTATCAAAAAAGACTATATTCTTAAGTTAAGAATATATTCTTAAATAAAGAATATATTCTTAATTTCAGAAGAATATCATCTAAAATCTTTAAGAAGATTTTTTAAGTACAAAATCTTCTACTTACAAGAATATAATTTTTTCGGTGTATTTATACATGTGTACAAAATTTTATCGTAAGAACACCTCTATGTAATCGCACATTAATACATTTTTGAAATAAGTTGTTTCTAAAATTTAATTTTAGCATCTTTTGATAACATGTTATCAAAAAAAATAATAGACCGTAAAATAAATTTTCGAGATGTTATACTGAAATTTTATGTGTTAGTCAATAATGCCAGAAAAGTAAAATTCAGATATGGCATTCAATTCGTGTGGTAAAATTATTTAAATTTTCCTTTTGTCAAAGTCTTTTGATTATGGAAAATTATTGCAAACTATTCTCACGAATAACGTACATGACTACTCCGCACTGTGTTTACGTAAGTGAGTGATATGTGCGTGATACATTACATATACAATATGCAATATAAAGACTGCAATATGCTCAACGATCTCTCAAGTCACGTTGCACTGCAACATGACTTGAAATATTCAAAGAATAAAAGCATCTTTATTTGAAAAATTACTATCTTTATCGTAATATATATAATAAAAAATAGTATATATAAAAAATAGTTTCTTATATAAAAGATGCTAAAATTAAATTTTAGAAACAACTTATTTCAAAAATGTATTAATGTGCGATTACATAGAGGTGTTCTTACGATAAAATTTTGTACACATGTATAAATAACTACATAAATGTAGAAATTTTCAGTGGCGGTCTCAAACCGATTCTAAAGAGTGAAACACTTATCATGTATAACACGGTTTTGCGTTTTTTTTCTCGATGTATCTCGAAAACTATTAAAGATAACAAAAACTGTTTTATATAAAAGTTTTATGGGAAAAACACCTCTATTTACCTACATTAATAGAATTGTTAAAATTTATAATTTTGTTACACAATGTTTTTTAAACTTATTTTTTTTAAATTCTATTAACATAAATAAATAGAGGACTTTTTTCTATATAAAATTTTTTAATATCTCTAATCATTTTCGAGAGAAATTGAAAAAAATGAAAAACTGCTCTACATATGAGGGGTGATTTCATCCCTTAGAACCGTTTTTTAGCAGCAACGGAAAATGTCAATACTCATCTATTGACCTCCCTTACATGTGTGCAAAGTTTCATCAAAATCAGAATTTTCGGGTTCGCGAGGTTCCCTTGTTAGTCTTCCTGTGTTAATCGGAAAACACTGTGTCAAACACAGTGTTCATTTGAAAGTAAATAACAATGGAAAAATCTACATCACGAACATTATCTCCGATAACGAAAAACAAAAAGCCCAGGTAAACAAATAATAAATATATAACAATTATTCATGTAATAATCATAGAAGTCGTATTAGATATATTTAGGTTAGAGTTATAAAAACTCGGTTTGATTATGAGTTTACTATGAAAAAATTTATTTATATATACATAGAAATGTAATACAGTAGACTCTCATTATAATGTCACCAATCTTCTGTTATAAAAGAAAGTAATTTACAATATCCTAATGGTGAGATATTCCCTCCAGTAATCGTAAATTACCTTCTCTACTGCGTAACGTCACGCGGTGGCAAGTTTCACGACAATGCTGAGCAACGTTAACAGGAGATTGATAACATTATAACGAGAGTCTACTGTAGTTCGTTATTGTTTCTTCATGAAACATATCTTTTTTATTTCTATCTTATTCTTTCAG